CATGGCTGGATCCAGGTCCCTAAATAATGCCAACAGGTGCCTCTCTCTCCAACTCTTGGCTCTGTTTTCTATTCTGTTGACTTCATTTTAAGACAGGGAGCAGTCTACATGGTGGCCCCAGGCAGACCAGACTTACAGCCTCCCATGTTCAATTTCAGCAGCTAAGAACTTACTTCTCTCCCGGTTGTCTCAGCAAATAATTACTTTGATTTACAGGTGCCCATCCCTGAACCAATCACTGTGGCTGGGGAGATGCAATGCTCTGATTGGCTGAGCCAGGCTCCCTTGCCCACCCTTGAGGCAAGGCAAGGACCTCCTTCCAAAACGCTATAGAAATGAGGGATGGGAGTTTCCCCAAGGAAAATCGGGATGCTGTTACCAAAAGGAGAAGGAATACAGAGCACGCACACAAGACTTGCCCACTGCATCAGTCTGGCTCCCTTATTGACAATAAGGGACCCCGAGGTCCAGTCAGAAGAGAGGACTTGGATTATTGCATGGCAGAGCAGAAACTAGAAGCCAGGACTCCAGACTCCTGCTTAGTTCCTTCAATTTTTGTTTTTGATCTATTCATTTTGGTTTTGTTCATACAATTAATAGCATGGATACATTATCCCTACGAAAATATTAATATGTATAAAGGGCAGATGGGTTTAACTCCGGGCTCCAGCCCTTACCAGCTAATTTTTAGGCCGTTTATTTACCTTCTCTCTGCCTTAGTTTCCTTCCTCTTTGTAATGAGAGCAATGATAGTCCCTACCTCCTAAGAAAGCATTGTGACAATTAAATGACTTCATGCATATAAAGTACTTAGAACATTGCCTGGAATAACGGAAATCCTTAACAGATATTTTCTGTTATCATCATTGTCATCATCCACTTTATTTTTTAAACTGCTTGTCAGTATTCCATAGTTTGAATTTTTCACATTTGTTTAATGCTTTCCTATTGACGGACATTCACAGTGTTCCTACCCTTTTCACTGTTTCACAGTGTATCACGGAACACCGCCGACCATGCCTCTTTGTTCTCATGCTGTGCACCTCTAACTAAACTTCCCCTGTCCGGGTGGGGACCTCACCAGCCTGTGAACCAGATGACAATGGAAGTGCCTTGTGCATGGGATGGAATGCTTTTTGGGGGGTCTTAGTTGTAAGTTTTGAAATTCCACAGGTGCTTCTTTTTATATGTTGCCACCTGGGGCCAGAAAGATTGAGCCAAGAAGACATCAGGGTGGGTGCTGTGTGCTGGAAGTTTCACGGTGTCCCTGCTTCGCCCTCTGCAGGGGCATTGCTCTCCCTGATCCTGCCTACAGAGGGGCTCTTCCAGGCCTCTCAGGAGGCCGTGCTGCCCCTGGGAGCCCACAGAGATTAGGATGCCATCACGCCGGTGTGCTGTATGCCATGCAGTAGAAACAGACCTGTGGTCAGCAAATAGCGCACAGGAAGACATACCCAAATGTTGAATGGAGGTCAGCCCCATCAGCACTGGGCAGGACAGGATGCTGCTGTCGTTCTCCGTTGTTCCTTAGCCTCTCTGTGTTTTCCAGACTTTTAAACACAGCAGTTATCACTTGTATCCTCAAGAAACACACACACAATTGTTATTTTAAATAGATGCTATCTGGATTTGAGTCCTGAATCCAAGTCCTTGTCTTCCTGGGCTCTGTTTTCCTGATGTGGAAAACAGGGTGAGCAGTCCCTGGTTCATCTCCCTCCCAAGGGCTGGAACAGATTCGAGGAGAGAAAAGAAAGACCTTTGTAAGCCATCGGGCACAATAAGCTGTGGGGAGGCAGAGGCTGTTTATTGTCTGGTCACAGCCAAGGCCAGCCCCTTTCACTGGGAGCGGTGCTCTGGTTTCTCCTTCCTGGAGACCACATTCTCTGTGGCGACTCTCTGAAGGCATCAGCAGGGAGGCACTTTGTGTTTACCGTTCACAAAAGAACTGGGTGTATGTCACCATCCAATGTGGACATCTCAAGACAATACATGAAGACAAGTCTTAAAGGGGGCTGCTAAGATTGGGGTGGCCCTGGGGTGAGTGGTAGCCTTCTGTCTTCATCTCTGCCATCCCCAGGCCACCTCTGTCTACTGTGATCTGAGGCCTTTTTGCATAAGCTCTCCATAGGAAGGTGGCCTGTGGGCAGGTCTGTGGAACCAAGTTTCTGGCTTGATGCCGGAGAGATTCATTTCAGCTTGTCACACAATTTTTTATTTAAACAAAGAGCCTCTACTAAACTGGGACCAAACTAATGACTAGTGAGTGCCCGTGGCAAAAGTCGAAATGCCATTTTGTACTTATTTAGTGGGTGGATGGATGGATGGATGAGGGAGAAAAAGAAAGGAGACCAAAAGAAGAAAAAAAAAAGGCAGATATTTGGGGCTGTGATTCCAGCTGAGCCTTTTATTTGCGTTCTGAATAATCTTTAATTCCACGATTGAATTAAATTAGAAGCGAATTTAGCCTATTGTGGCTTTGTCTACTTCCCTTACTATACGATGGTGTTTGTGTGTCTGCTGGCAGGTTGTGGGGTTTGAGAGAGCGAGGGCTCTCTGCTGGGTAATAGCTCTATTGTATTTCACCCCTTGGACTACAGGCAATTTATTACAGCTACCCCCCACCCTGCTCCAGCTGAGCAAGCCTCCTGTGAAATTGGATGGAAGGCAGGACCTTTTGTAGAAAACTAGATGTCGCCTGTCTCTTTCTTGGCCACAGAGGACTCAGCTGAGTTAGGGGAAAGGGATTTTTAAAAAGCGGTGCTTTCGTTTATTTGTGAAGGCTGACATAATGAAGTTGGAGAAGGCTCCCAGAGAAGGCTGAAATGATCAAAAGGATTAAAAGAGTTGGGGAAAGGGGCAGAGGAGGGCTGCATGCGGCCTGGATAAAAACAGCCCAGTCAGATGAAGAGCAAGACGGGACGTGCAAGAAGTCCAGCGTCCCGGGAGGAAAGAGAGAGATGACCTGTCCATCAGAATCGGACGGCCAGAACTAGGGGAGTCGGTTCACACAGCTGGAACGGAGCTCACTGCCAGAGGCCACGCATTCACTCCTACTCCCCTACCCCAGCTTGTCTGAATGGTGGGACGAATTAAGGAACCAGGGTTCCTTGGCAGCATGGCTGATTCCAGGTTAGGGCAGGAAGTATACAAGTTAAGCCTGAAGAGTCTTCTGATATCTTTTATCAGAAAGCAAGGAAGCCCTCAGTACTCTGTGACCTTGTTCACAGGACTAGGAGGCAACTTGAGAAGACTCCCTTTGGCTAAAAATGGGTCTGTTTGGGGGCCAGCCGAGTGGCTCAGTTGGTTAAGAGCGAGAGCTTTGATCAACAGAGTCCCCGGTTCCCACATGGGCCCGTGAGCTGCGCCCGAGCCGAGCTGCCGCTGAGCTGCCAACAGGTGGCAGGATGGCTCAGCTAGTGAGAGCACGTGCTAACAAGATTACTGGTTTGACTTCCGCATGGGATGGTGGCTATGCCCACCTTCAACTAAGATTGAACACAGCACCTTGAGCTGAGCTGTCCTGAGCTGCCGATGAGCAGCCAGATGGTGACTGGGCTTGGAGCTGAGCTAGCTGCGCCCTCCACAACTAAGATTGAAGGACAACACCTTGGCTGTTTCCCTTCCCCAATTCCCCAATAAAATCTTAAAAAAAAAAAAAAAGATGGGCCTATTTGGGAACCAATAAGAATAATACTTGCATTGAATAGAAGCATGTTAATATTTATGCGTTTTCATAATGAAAACAAGTCATTGGCCATCTTTGGAGGATGCTAGTCATTCTGAAAACTGGTAAACAAAGAATTAAGAACTTACCCTATCTTTCCTATATTTCAGGGTAACCAAATATTAATAGTTGATGTGGTAGTTTTTCCTGATAGAACTATTCCAGCTAATAAATGAAAAATGATAGAATTAGAATGTCACCATTTTGCAAACCCCTGATGAAATAAAGGCTTTAGACACTGACCATCAATGGCTACCAACATCACAAAAGGGGAGACAACTGGACATCACGTGTTTCCCATGGGATGCTCACACCACCACCTCTGAAGAGGTTGCCAGAATATCTCATCGAATTACGTCAAGCCTTTAGATCCAACTACCAGTTTGCAGGAACCAAAGAAGGGCAGACAGAGGAACCTGTTCAGAGACACCACAGCAGTGCAAGCAGCAAAATGCAGACTGTGGAAAGTCCTGTAGGACAAATGACCCAGTTTCTTCAACTAATAAATTGTAAGGAAAAACGGAGACTTAGGCAACACATCAGCTAAAAGCAGTCTGTGGACCTTGTCTTGATCCTGATTTATACAAACCAACTGTAAAAAGACACAAGAAGATCAGGGAAATTTGACCGCCAACTAGATATTCGATGCTCTTAAGGAACTATGTTAATTCTTTTGGGTGTTATGATATTAAAGGCCCACATAGGCAGGGCCTTCCACCCGCCAAGCTTACCACGGGGCTGGCGGAGAGCAGAGAAGGAAAGGTGCCTGCTGCTGGTAGAACCCAGGGAGGGGCAGAGGAAGGGGCTGAGCCCGCGAAGCTCGGTTTATTCTCCCAGACGTGTGGATAAATGGTTTCATCTCTCCTCCATTGGAGAGGAATGTACGGGGGATGGGGAGGGCACAGTTACTGAAGGACTGCCCCCCACATGGAGTCGTGAGGGTAGGGAATCGTCTTCCTCTCACGATCAAGGCTTCAACAAGCGGGTGCATGTAAAGCACCGAACCCCGGTGCTGCTCTTCCCACATGGGCCGTCGTGGTTTTGGGTCTTGTATACGTACCCCCATGTACTGTGTGCGCGGAGTTTGGAGGCAGGACTTCAGGGCGCCATGTAGAAGAAGGTTCTCAAGTGACTGAGGTGTCCCCAGCTCTCACTTGTTCCCTAAAGGCTGGAGCAGAAGGTGGGGTTTGCCGTGAGCCACGCCCTGTGCCTGAGTTCTCTTGGCAAGATGAGAGCTGAACCTGTCCTCTCCCTTGTCCCCCGTGTCGCCCTCCAGCTGCAACAGCAAACGCTACCTGGAGACGCTCCCCAACACCAGCATCATCATCCCCTTCCACAACGAGGGCTGGTCCTCCCTGCTCCGCACCGTCCACAGCGTGCTGAACCGCTCGCCCCCGGAGCTGATCGCCGAGATCGTGCTGGTTGATGACTTCAGTGATCGAGGTAGGGCCCCTCTCACCCAGCCTCCTGCCCTCTGTGCTGTGTCCCGTGGCTGCCACAGCGGTGGCAGGCTTTCCCTTCTGCAGCAGCACCAACATACGGGCCCCCATTTACTGTGCCAGGTGATGAACCTGGCGCTGCACACGCGTTATCTCGTCTAGTTCTCACAACAGCCCATGCAGGAGGTTCTGTTTTTATCCCATTTGTATCAATACAGAAATGCATTAACCTGCCAATAATAGCAAACTTGATCAACAGTAGCTCAGACAAGTAAGAGGTTTCTTCATTCATTGATTCATTCATTTCATAATAAGGTTGAGGGTTGGCACAGCTGCTCAAGGCTGTCGTCAGAGAACCAGGCTTCTCTCTCCCTGCTTCCTCATCCTCATGCTCTCAAAAGGGCTGCTGTACCTCAGGAGAGCCTGCCTTCCAGGCAGGAAGAGGAGGAAAGGCAAAGAGAACAAAGCTTCCTTCTGTCAAGCCTTTACCTTCTTATTCAGGAAAGACTTTTGGTCGGAACTCTGACATCCGGGCACCCCTGTCTGCAAGAGTGCCTGGGCATGTGAGTGTTTTGATTTGGGGCCTCTTTAGTAGAGAAAGGAAAGGGAAGAGTGGATTATAAGTGTTGAGTGAACCCCCCTACAGTATCTGCCACACCATTTAACAGGTGAGAAAACAGAGGTTCAGAGAGGTTCAGCAACTTACCTTTGGTCACATAGCTCTCAGGTGATGATGGGGTGACCGAACCGTGTCTGTCTATCCCCAAGCATATGATCTTAACCACTAGACCACACTGCCCTCCAGCCAGTGGTCTCACGTTTATTCTTTGCATCAAAGGTTTCACCAGTTGCAGCAAAATCAAGAGAAGCCCTCTGCTCTGCTCACCTTCTCTCAGAGGCACTAATAATTAGTGAAGAGAGGGAGTCTGAGTGCACTCCAGAATAATCAGAGTTTTCCTGCCTGTCACCCATATTTAATCCTCCACTCTTAATTACATGCCGTTAGTATTGAGGCCTCAGTGGTGTGTCCGTGTGTGTGTGCACATACTCATACACGCACCCATCTTGAACTCGGTTCTCACCACCTCTTAAAGTATTCCCTAACTCTTGACCTACACTCATTCTCATGGGAGCTTTTCCTTTTCCTTCTTAGCTCTTATCACAGGCAGAATTAAAATACAAATAAATATAGCACGTCAACATTGGCGGGTTGCAGGTCCCCTGCTCACTGTCCATCCTGAGAGCGGGGGCCACCACATCGGTCGTGATCACCGCTCACCCCCAGCTTCTTAGCCACGTAGTAGGCGCCTACTACACCTTTGATGAGTGAATGGTCAGAACTCATTCGTTCCCTTAGTACTTCCACCGTGGTTATGGTCACATCTCATACCTTACGTGAGATTGATTTGTGTCCCGGCAGCGAGGCCTGTGAGCCCCCTGAAGCCAGGGGTGTGTCTCCTTGTCTCCATAGCCCTGGTCTTTACCAGAGAGCCTGGCAGTGGTTACGTCTTCGATCCTGGCCCTGTCACTTACCACATCTGTGACCTTGACCCACTCACCTGGCCTCTCTGTGTTTCGGTTCCCTCATCTGTACAATGGGACATAACAGTATGTGCCTCTTAGGTGGCTGTGACCATGAAACGTGTCACTATGTGTGAAGTGTTCAGGACAGTGCCTGGCACATAGTGAACATGAGAAATAAGCATTGAAGCTTGGTGTTGTTATCGTTCCTATTGACAGTACCTATGGCTGGCTGTAGGAGAGGAGGTCAGGGATAAATGTACTGACATGGAGGTGCGGGTATGGTCTTCCCCTTTCTGTGGGTGAAATGGCTTTGCGAATTATAAAACACTAAACAAATGCCCTGTTTTCCCACCTCCCACCTAAATTGTCTCCTGTCCATTCACCATCTAGGAGGCCATCAATGCACCAGGCCTGTGTATTACCTCATTTACTTTTGACAACAGACTCTGAGTGAGGCCTTGGGATCCCTGAGTCTCTGATGAGGAGCTGGGGTTAAGTGACTTGCCCAGAGTCATGTAGGCAGTGGGTAGAAGACCCAGGCCTAGGCACTCAAAGCCCCGGACCCATGCTCTGCGTGCGTGTTATGCTGTTGCATCGTCCCCGACCCCAGGCAACCCTCTGAATGAGTGACGTACGTCCACAGTGTCCTGTCCTCAGCAGCCCTGCTCGGCTCCTGCAGACTCATGCCTATGGCTTCTTTATGGAGTTATTCCATCTCATGTTTGGTCTTCTTTTCCTGCTGCCTTCTGTTTTTCCCAGCATTATTGTCTTTTCCAAAGAACCCTGCCTTCTCAGGATGTGCCCAAAGTAGGACAGCTTCAGTTTTGTTATATTTGCCTCCAGCGATGTTTCAGGCTTAATTTGCTCTGGGACCCACTTGTTCATCTTCCTGGCGGTCCAGGGTATCTGTAAAGCATTCCTCCGACACCACATTCCAAATGAGTCCGTTTTTTTCCCCATTTGCCCTCTTCAGCGTCTGACATCCGTGGGTAGCAATTGAGAATACGAGGGTGTGGATGATCTCTCCCACCACCTTTTCCTCCCTTTCTTCTGCTTCTCCTTGCCCAGTCTCCTCTCCCAGCCTCAGCCTCCTCCCAGCCTGGGCCTGCCACCCGCCGGCCAAGGGCTCGCAGCCAGGCGGTGAAAAGGAAAATAAATGAACACATTGCTCCAGTGATTATTTGATTTCCATGTACGATGCTGCAGCACAAACAGCCTCTGTTCCTTGGGGCGGGCACCCGAGCCCTTTCTCAGGTACAGGGGCTGCCTGCTCGGAGCAGGCTCGTTGCTGCAGTGTGGCGGTCAGGGCCGCACTCCCTCACTGACTCTCTCGCTCTGAGCACCAGCCACAGCAGGCTCCATCCTGCCTCTGATCTTCCCATGCTGTTCCCTCTGCCTGGACATCACCTTCCCTGCTCTTCCCCCAGCTGGCTTCTCTCACGCCATCTTCAGTTAGGTCTGTCACCACCCCCCTGCCCCTGTTCTCCACGTGTGACTGCGTGGCTCTCTGTTCACCTGTCAGCTGTCAGTCTTCCTTACTGGACCATTCGTGGCCTAGAAGCAGGTGGTGAATAAATGTTTGTGAATTAGTGAGTGAATGAGGATAGAAGGAGGAAGAAATACTATATAGCGGCTCCATCCACACATAGAGAACAGGGTCATCTTCAGCCAGTGGGACTGACGTGGCTGTGGCAGTCACAGCAGCTTCTTCTGTGACTGGCGCTGGCTCCCGGCTTTGTGTTTCAGGCGCAGGTCTGAAGAATCAGATGTGCTGGGAGCGGGCCCACAATACTTGGCAGGTTTCTCTCTGAGCGTCACAGGACATTAGTTCCCTCCAGAGGCAGAATAAACCAAGCATCAGCTGGGTTAGAAACAAGTATTTCTCCTTGTTCAATTACAAAAAAATTTCAAGGTCACTGAGGCTACTGGCTGTCACTGTGCGCCTCAGAGCAGCTGAGGGCCCAGGAAAGCCTTGGGGTGCATGGTGAGGGGTACTGAGAAACCTACAGGTGCAGGTGGGGTTCAGGTGCTTCTCCTAGCACGGTCTGCATTTGGTTTCTGAAAAATTGTTCACTAATTGGAGCTCCACTGCTTAAGAAAGTGTGAAACTCACAGATGTAATTCAGCCTGCTCCTTTCACAAGCGGGAGACCTGAGGTCTGGAGCCAGGTGTGGCTCAGCCGGGAGCGCATAGCCAGCTGGTCGTCGAGGAGGGACAGGGATGCCAGTGTCCGGGCTCCTAGGACAGGCTCACCCCTCTTCGCCTCAGCTGGTTCCGTGAGGCATCTGCAGAAGTGCACTACTCCTTTCTGTCCCCAAGAACACGTCTCAATAAATTACTTCCCCATTGTATGAAAGAGCAAACTTCCTGCTAAAAAGAGCTCATTATCAAGCACAGCCAGTCCTGGACTATAATGGTTTACACCTCTAATATCCCAATTTCCTTAATGTTGTACTCAGGGATAACACTAACAAACCCCATTAAAAAAATGTAACAATTTTAAAAGAAAAGGTAAACTTCATAAGAATGACATTCTCTGAGTGCATCAACTTCTCCAGAGAGAGCAAAAATATTAATCCAATGCGGTGCCATCCCCACACCCTAATAAGGTAAAAAAGAGACCAAATACTGTCCCACTGCACAGATGAGAAGGAGAACCAAAGCCCCTGATTGTTGCCCTGTTTTCTCAATGAATGGCATAGGGCCCAGAGGAAAACTCGTACCCCACGCCCCTCAGTCCTGCACGTTAGCTGTCAGGTTTTGCAACCTGCATTTTTTTTTTCAGAAAAGCAATCATTATTCTTGTTTCAAGAAGCAATTCTCAAGGCAGCTTTGGAAGAAAACTTACTCAGCAGTGATTGTTTTAAAAATGAGATTTGGGAGAAACAATTTCAGAATTATGGAGAGGCCTGTCTCAAGTACAGCAAATATGGGCCATCGTAAAAGACAGATTTCTCTGGGCCGCATGAGCGGAGGCGTCCTCAGAGTTGAAATTCAGAGACGCTAACTACGGGCTAGATTGGCACTGCCTAGCAGAAGGCATTCTCCTCTGAAATGAGTCTCCTCCAGGATCCTCCGGGCAACTAATTGTAATTCAGCTGAGGGTCGAGACCTTGAGTAGGAGACAAAATTGGAGCAGATGAATTCTTGAAATCAGATCCCGAGCTTTGTGCAGGCAGCACTGGAGACTAGTGTGGAGGCAGACGCTGACGCCGGAATAATCCTGGCCCTGCTTACAAATAGGGCGCTGCAGAATCTAGGGGTCTCCAAGAGCTCTTCTCTTCCAACGTGTGTGCTTTGCTTGAGGAGTGGGAGGACGCCACGTGGCGGTGTTCCTTCACGCATGGGAGGGAGAGGTGAGGGCGTAGGGTGGGGCGGACCTGCCTCCAGATTGCGCTGCCTGGATCGGAGATTTTTAGTAGGAAGCCCAAGAAAGGCCTTGGTTCGTTTGTTTCTCTCTGTTCCTCTTCTTCCCCTCCC